GTACTCCGTAGTCTACTGACGTTAACTTTGATTTTCCCCCGTGTAAAGAGACAAAATGATAACGGTCAGATAAGTACGATCTAAACCAGCTTAATGCCTGTCCCTGAACACCAGTGTAGTTTTGTAGTCGATCCAAGAGTATTTTATGATCTATAGTGTCGAACGCGGCGCTAAGATCAAGTAGGACTAGTATTGAGATACAGCCTTGATCCGAAGCTAAGAGTAGATCATTTGTAATTTTAACTAGCGCAGTTTCTGTACTATGATGCGGTCTGAATCCTGACTGGAATTTTTCATAGATATCATTTTCTTGCAAAAAAGAGCACAGTTGAGCGGATACAACTTTTTCTAGTATTTTGGACATAAATGGAAGATTTGAAATGGGTCTGTAATTTGCTAGGTTATTTGGATCTAGTTGCGGTTTCTTAATGAGAGGTTTTATTACCTGAGGGGCCATCATGTGTTGTTCTGGAACAGTGACTGTTAGGCCTCAGGGCAGCAGCGTCCAATGTGATACCCTTTGACCTGCTGTACGTGAAACCTTTACAGTGGTGGCTCAGGACCAGAGGACTCAGGACTCAGGACCTTGATCACCACTCCGTACGATCAAGATCACGCAGCAGTATCCCTGCGCCTTGGTTATATGGAGGAAACTCTGGTTCTTGACCCACAGACAACACGTTGGTGGCCTCTTATTTTGGTCCCTCAGGAAATTACGCTGTCTGAGGGCAGTGTATATTCCAGGGGGGCCAGAATATTGGAGCAGACACCCTGTCGAGGCAGGGGCTGAGGCCAGGGGACTCCACCCCGATGCGGTGGAGCAAATATGGGAGTTTTACGGCCAGGCAGAAGTGGATTTGTTCTCGTCTCAGCATACGACGCACTGTCCACTCTGGTTATCCCTCACTCAACCAGTCCCCTCGGGGCTGGATGCTATGGTGCAGACGTGGCCGAGGCTACGTCTGTACGCATTTCCCCCTGTTGCTCTGCTCCCAGGAGTTCTGGAGTGAATCCGCCAGGATGGAATAAGCCTATTTAGTAGCACCACCCTGGCCGAGCTGAATTTGGTTTGCGGACCTAATTTTTCTCCTCGACGGGCCTCCCTTGGAGGTCCCGATCAGGAGAGACCTTCTGTCTCAGGCAGGGGATCCAATATTGCACCCCCGGCAGGGGATTTGGAAACTGTGGGTTTGGCCTCTGAGGGGGCCCAACTCATAGAGAGTGGTCTCTCAACCGAGGTTGTTGAGACCATTCTAAGCTCCAGAGCTCCCGCTACGAGGAAACTATATTCACTATTTCGAGAGTTTTTCACTTCTTGGTGTTACCAGCGTCAGTGGGATCCGGTTAACTGTTCAGTAAACACAGTATTCGAGTTTCTGCAAGAACGCTTTGTATCAGGTCTATGTCCTTCCACGCTTAAGGAATACGTGGCGGCCATTGCGGCTTTCCACGCCCTGGTGGGTAGTACATTTTTGGGTCGAGACCCCCTGATCACTCGTTTCCTTCGTGGCACTTTGAGGCTGAGGCCTGCAACTTGCACTAGGGTGCTGGCTTGGGACCTTGCAATAGTTCTAGAAGGCCTATCTGGGGCTCCTTTCGAGCCCTTAGATTTGGTCTCAGAGAAGTTCCTTTCTTTTAAGACTATTTTCTGCTAGCTATTTCGTCCCTATAAGAGTCAGACCTTCAGGCCCTTTCGGTCCCCACCTTCCTTGAGTGCACCGGGGATGGCCAAGGCAATCTTACCCGAAACATGGATATGTTCCAAAGGTGCCTACCATTATTCCGAGGCCTATTGTGCTGCAGGTTTCTGTCCTCCCTCATTTTTCGGACCAGGAAAAGCTGAACCTCTTGTGCCCAGTGCGAGCGCTGGACACTTATGTTCATCGGACTTCTCTGTCGAGAAAATCCAACCTATTGAGCAAATAGATAGTCGAGACTATTCTTCTTGCTTGCGAGTCTTCTGGCCAACCATTTGGTGGTCAGGGCTCATTCCACTAGGAGTATGGCTTCTAAGCGTATTATCTGGAGTTCTCTCCAAGACGTTTGTGATGCGGCGGGCTGGTCCTCACATTCGTGAGGTTTTACAGCTTGGACCTGGATGCTGCCCCAGGATCCCAGGTGCTTGGTGCAGTGTGACAACAGCCTGACACTCAGGCATTTGAAAGTCTGGCGTTTTGGGTATTCTCGTTCCCAAAGCGTCGTTGACGCATCGCGAGTTCCCTCGAAAGGGAACGTCTCAGGTTACGACTGTAACCATAGTTCCCTGAGAAAGGGAACGAGACACTGCGTCACCCTGCCATACTTCCTGCATCCCTGTGATCGGCTTGCTTCGGCAATTTTTGAAGCTAATGCCGGTTTGCACCGGATGCTCTTTTATCACTTCCTGGTAATGACGTCACCCGCCCGTGACGTTCATTCCTTCCATTGGACTAGTTGACATAGATGCTTCAGACGCATTCACGCTGGGAGCATTCCCAAAGCGTCGTTGACGCATCGTCTCGTTCCCTTTCTCAGGGAACTATGGTTACAGTCGTAACCTGAGACGTTTTTATTAATATTAGGAATTAGGGTCCCCCCTCATTTTCACTTTAATTTTAGTTAATGTTTTAACCCTTAAATGCATAAATGTTTCTCCAATCATTATTAGCCTACATATCTACCTACGCAATTGATCCCTATTCACATTTCCAGGGTTCTCGGAGTCAGTTGGATAAGTTTAGTGACGTTCTGTTTCGCCATTGGACTGATTTCACAGATGTGCTTCAGACACAATCATGCAGAGGTGTTCCCAAAGCATCAATACTACTATGACGCAGCATCTCGTTCCTTTCTCGGGAAACAAAGGTTACATGAATGAAAATCACGTCATAATTGTGTATCAGACATTGCTACCTTAAAGGGGTCATATAATGCCATTTTTGTACAAGCTAATATGATTCTTTAGGGTCTAAATTAAAACTTTGTAATATACTTTAATTAAAAATTCTCATCAGTATTGTAAGAAAACACTTATTTTACCTGGTCAAAAACAGCTCTGTTTTCAGCACGCCGTTTCAGTGCATATGCCTTTAAATGATCATGAGCTGCGCTCACCCCGCCCCTCTGTTCTGTGCATACACCGTTTGTAACACAATAACACAATAACCATAACGCATTGTTCACAGAGCCATAGAGATTGTTCAGTATAAACGTGGGATTATGAATTATATTGAGAACGTCGTACATAGAAAACATGCCGTAATGTACCCTGAGTGTAAACCTTAGCCGCATTCATTGTGAAGCGTGCAGCTAGCGATTTGCAAAGATATAAATATTAATATAAAGTTTAATAAAACGTTACACTCACTTCAGTTCTTCTGGAGATTCAGCAGGAACACGAATATCTGGTACCGATCCTTTATTCATGGCAGCTTCTTCCTTTATTCGAGCAGCTTCTTAGCAAATCCAGCTTTATACTGATCCTCGTTTATAAAGCAGTCTGGTGTGTGAAATGATTCGCGCAAACATGAAAGCATTGACATTGCTCGTGGGGAATATTCCCTTCGAAAACAAACTCAGCCACTGCGTCTTCAGCGGTTCGGATTTGGGAACATTAAAATGACTGCTGTGTTCGTTATTACACCCAAGAACAGAACACCACAATCGCGTAGACGCCATTCTGCTCATAGACAGTGCTCCAGCATATCAACAATGACCGCGCCGGTCCGCGCAGACTATGATTGACAGCTCTCACGAGCGAGGGCGGGTCTGTGTTGAAACTCCTGTGCTGACTCCTGTCAATCAACAATCGTGGGGGGGCGTCCGTTTTATTGACGTCACAAAAACGAACGGCTCAATTTGAGGCAGGGGAAAACATATAAGGAGATTAAAACAAAAACACTGGATGGATTTTTATCATTATATGATGGTTGTGTACAGGCACTGCCAACACACATTTCAGTACAATCAACTTGTAAAAGTGCATGTACCATTATATGACCCCTTTAAGGAATTAAGGTGAATTGCACTTATTGAGTCATCATAGATTCAACCATTGTTGCGCAGATAAAAATATAGGCTACATACCTCAGGTCGCTAGCGAACCGATACATTTTTTACAAAAAAAATATTAGTAAACAGATATTCTATTATATATAATTAATAATTTTGTTGTGTGTTTCAGTGTTATTTTAGTATCGAGTTATTTTTTATTTCTGTATTTTCCATTTTCGTTTTAATTTTAGTTAGCGTTTTAATCATTTAGTTAAGTGTTTTTGTCATTTTTAATAGTTATTGTTTTTAATGTCTTTTTAAAAAAATTTAATTATTTTAGTATATAGTTAAACTTTATAAAACAGAAATGTTATGAGACTGAGAAACTTATTTTATTTCAGTTAACGTTCATTTTATTTCAAGTAATGACAATGGTTTTAGTTGTAGTTAATTATAATAACCATGGTTTATAGCTGCCTTGAAATATGGCATGTTCTGACACGACTGCCTCCATCCCGAGGGATTTACACAACCTTTATTTAAAGAAACAGGGACGCAATCAAATGTGTTGGAGTGGGTTATGTATGTGTGTGTGTGTGTGTGTGTGTGTCTTGGAAGGTGATCAAGCTTTCTCTGTAGTCGCCCCAAAGCTCTCGAACAATTTACCTTTAGACATCAGGACCTCTCCATCTCTGGTTGCTTTTAAATCCAGCTTAAAGACCTATTTTTAACTCTCTTGCATTCAAGTAATGTTGTGTATGTATTTTAAATAAGTCTGTGTATGTTATGTATGTATGTATATACACTGAATGATTTTTATACTTGATTTTTATCCTTTTTCAGGATTTTTGATACCTTTTTTTTCTACTACTTTTCTCTTTATTTTATTTTTATTGATTTATCTTATTGTATTTTAAAGCACTTTGGATCAACTACGGTTGTGTTAAACTTGTGCTCTAAAAATAAAACTTGACTTGACTTGGCGATAATAAGAAATGCTCACATTTCACACATTTCTCTCCAATCAGGGTGAAGAAGATGATGAGGATGATCAGCCTCTTAGCCTGTCATGGCCAGAGACCGGCCGCAAGCGTTTCACGTATCTCTTAATCCTTCCCATAGTGTTCCCTTTGTGGATAACTCTGCCAGACGTCAGGAAGTCTGTGAGTACTTTTTGACTAGTTGTGTTGCAATTGCAAGCTGGATGTAACTGTGAGACGCTTCTTGTGTGTTTTGTCCTTAGAGTTCAAAGAAGTTTTTTCCAGTGACATTTCTGGGGGCGATTTGCTGGATCGCAGCATTCTCCTACTTGATGGTCTGGTGGGCTCATCAGGTAAGACTGCTGCAGCTGACAAAGTACACTTCAGCATACTGTTAAAAAGAGTACTTATTACATAAATAATATACTTTAAAAGAATATACTTATAAGTGTGAACATGTCATTTCATAATTACTTCTATTGTCTTTATAATTTGGTTAAAGTGTTCTGCTGAATGTACTGACTAGCATTATGGAAAATTAAAATAGAAATGAATTAAAATTAATTATTAAATTAATTAATTAAAATAAAATAAGTTCTATTGAAACTTGTATGTCATGTATTTAAATATATTTGCAATTACACATTTTTAATTATGATGTTTCAATTTATTACATTTAAAATATATTAACTTTAAATGTAATAAAAAATGATATCAGTTAAAATGATAATCAAGTACTTTACATGTGCTTATATGTTAGTCAACATTAAAATAAGTTAGTCACTTCTTTATAGCAAAACAAAAAGATTTTTAAACATAATGATTTAAAATTTATTTTAAAGTAGTAAAGCATTTAATTTGACATCAACTTGCCCTTATTAAAAGTGTACTTAAGTGTGTTAAAAAAATGTGGTCATGAAAGTGTGCTCTTTTATCATTTATTGGATCTCTACTGGCAGTGTGCTACTGATGTTAAGCCTAATTGGGATTTGAGGCCAAATATTTCTGTGCCAATTTATGATCTTCACCAGTCTGGTTGTTTTGTGCTAATATTCCTGCAGGTTGGAGAGACTATAGGAATCACAGAGGAGATCATGGGCCTGACAATTCTAGCGGCTGGAACCTCCATCCCTGACCTTATTACCAGTGTCATTGTGGCCCGCAAGGGTCTGGGCGACATGGCTGTGTCCAGTTCTGTGGGCTCTAATATATTCGACATTACTGTGGGGTAGGATTTTTATTCTTTTTATTTTGTTAAAGAAATTAATACTTTTATTCAGCAAGGATGCATTAAATAGATCAAAAGTGACAGTAAACCCATTTATGTAAAAAAACATTTTTTAAAATAAACTTTCTATTCATCAGAAAATCCTGAAAAAAATCACATTTCCACAAAAATATGAAGCAGCGCAACTGTTATCAACATTGGTAATCAATCATTTAAGAATGACTTCTGAAGGATCATGTGACACTAGCTGCATTTACATGGTTCAATCGGAATGAAATCAATCCGATTGATGAATCCGAACACGGTGTTTACATGAACGATAAATAAAGTAATCGGGTTGATGTGCGCGTTTATATGTCACAAGATTCAAATCGGAATAGATTTTTTGACATGCGCACACTGCACGAATATGCCGCTGTTCGCGCATAACTATTCTCCTCTATTGGTTCTTTATATTTTTTAAACAGCAGACTTAATATTTATCCGTCTCTGGCCATGATTTGGAGACGAAGAGCATGAACCGTTTTGCCGTGCTGCTTATATTGATCACGCAGTAAAACCCCGCGCCCAAAACCAGTCGTCCATGGATGAGAGTCTGAAACAAGCACTGGTGGGACGTTGTCCTGCTTCACTTCACAGACGCTGTCGCTGAGTGAAATGAGAATTTTTTAATAACAGAACACTCATTTATATTCACTTTATCCAACAGGAAGAACAGCTCGTTCCGTGCGTCACGTCATTACGCTATTTCAACGTCATTGCACATGCACAGTCCTTTTAGTTTCGGTTTTCAATCCGATCAAGTGTTTACATGTTCTCTCGATCGGATTACAAAAGGAGTAAACCACCCCTTTCAATCGGATCGAGCTCAATCGGATCGATTAAGGTGTTTACATGAAGGTTTTTTAGTCCGATTGAGCCGTACATCCGATTAAAAGTGTCCATGTAAACGCAGCTAGTGAAGACTGGAGTAAGGATGCTGAAAATTCAGCTTTGCATCACAGGAATAAATAACATTTTACAATATATTACAATATAAAACAGTTATTTTAGATTGCAATTATATTTTACAATATTACTGTATTTTTGATCAAATAAATGCATCCTTGGTGAGCATATATATATATATGTATTGTCTTAATGCAAGGCGAGGAGGAAAGATTGAGTGGCCCAAATCTCTCCAAGGATCACAGATGGAGATTTGCAGAGATTAGTTGAGTCTCAGGGTCAGAAAGCCTTAAAAAAAATCAAACAACCACTACATTGCCACAAGTTGTTCGGGAGGGTTTCAAGAAAAATCCTCCTCGGTCATCCAAAAACAAACTCCAGCATATTCAGTTGTCAGACAAGACTGGAACTTCAAAACTGACCGGATTCTATTGTACTATGTGCCCGCTGGGATCTATCTGGACCACATGTATGCAGAAGACACACAGTTATATTTGTCAAAACCACTCAGTTTTGGTTGTTCTTAGTGTCCCGCTTTCATGGACTTTCAGTTCCCTTTCAAGGGAACTTGCGCTGCGTTGATTGACGCTAAGGGAACGCTTTGCGTGATGATGTATTGAAGCACATGTAAAATCAGTCCAATGGTGTGACGGAACGTCAGAGGCGGGTGACGTCATGAACCAGGAAACTATAAAAGCCTGCCCAAACAAAGCAGCGTTACCTTCTGTGTTTTCACAAGCGCTCTATGTGAAACTGTCTCTGTCATATTTGGTGTTGTCTGATATATATATATATATATATATATTGTCTATTTGAGCATGGCGAGCAAGCAGCAGTTTAGAGTGTGTGTGCACCCCTGCCCGCGTTATTTAACGGGTGGGGACACACATGCTTTATGTGTTGTTTGTTTGGGTGAAGAGCATGCACGGTCAGCGCTCGAGGGCGCTGGCTGTGAGCACTGTGATGTGCTTCCCTTGCGGACACTCCGATCCCGCCTGGCGTTCTTTAGCGAGGACGCCCAGGCTCGCGTTCCCCAAGGCTTAGGTCCCGCTGCGAGATACTGAGGATTCTCCACCTCATTCTCATACTTTTGAGGAGCTCGTTGAGGTTTTAACGAGAGCGGTCGAAAGATTAAACATCGATTGGCCGGCAGATAAGCAGGACGTTCGTTCAAAAAGTAAACTCAACAAACGCTTTCTGCCCTCTCGTTCACAACCTCAATGCCGGGGCCTTACGTTTTTCCCCGATCTCCACACAGAGGTGTCGAGATCGTGGAAGAAACCTGTGTCATATAGAGTCTACAGTGCACACACATCTCACTATTCTTCTACATCACAATATAAAGAGCACGGTTATGGGAAGATGCCAAAGGTGGAAGAGACACTCGCGAGCTATCTCTCCCCTGAGTCTGCATCTTCCCTCAAGGCCCCGGTATTACCCACCAAGCCAGTTAAAGTAACATCAGCTTTCTCCACACCATGACACTGCTGCAGGCTTACCAGGCTGAAGTGTTAGGAGATCTCGACGAAGGCGGGGGTATTGGCCCGAACACTGTTTGTGAACTGCGTCGGGCCACAGATTTGTCTCTCAGGGGAGCCAAGGAGACAGCTAAATCTTTCGGCCGTTCTATGGCAGCCCTGGTGGCCACTGAGAGACATCTCTGGCTCAATCTGAGTAATTTTTTTATGGATGCTCCTATTTCTTCCTCTGGCCTCTTCGCAGTAAACTCGGTCGTCGAGAGGTTCCAAGAGTCAGCCAAGCAAGCGGCTGCCTTCCAGAAACTCCTCCCTCGCCGGACTCATGGCTCCGGGGCTGCTGAGCGGGAGCAGCCCCAAACATCTAAAGCCAGCTCCTCACACCGTGCCACACAAAAACTGAGCGGGGCTTCCCGTGCTCCCACACAAAAAGACTTTGGACACGGAAAGCGTGCTCAACCGCAGCCTTCGAGGGTAATGACAGATCTGAGGACTGTCATTATCTCCAAGAAGGCTGCGAAGAAAAGGTCCTGACGCCCGAGGGCGCAGGCCATTGAGGGTTGCCCCCCCCCCCCCCCACCCCACCCCCGGAAGCAGAGCGGTTAACACCTCATTTTACGGTGCCCTCAGGGGACCGTTATGCTAACCCTGCCACCTCGTGTGCTTCAGGGCGCAGTGGTCTCCGGCGAGCACATATCTCAGGTTCCACCCAGAAATGTAGTGGTCCTGGGATGCCCACCCTGTAGCGTATCTGGGCCGCGCCAGGGTGAATCATGCATTCCAACACCCTAAGGATTGAACCAGAATCATGGTTCATTCATCTGAACACAAATAATGCACATTCTTTCTGAAATCCCAAAGCTTTAAGACTGACAGCATTTTTCTGACAGCATTTACGACTCTGCGATCTTCCCCAGGGACATCGGAGACTCCTCTCCACTCACTTGGGCTAAGCATCAAAGGAATTCCAGCCCCCCCCCCGTTGTGTGCTCCACATACGCGCAAGGCCAAGAAAAGCTCACTCCAAAACGCACACACACAAACAGACATTCCTTCATTGAAATCTATAATTTGACTAATTCTGGAAAGAATACGATATATTCCTGTATGTTTGCAGTTTCCCAGTTCATATTAGTCTGGTTACGATTTCCTAGTGTATCAGTGGAACTCTTAAGTGCTTGTAATTATGCATTAAGCTGTATCTTTGTAATTCCTATTCTTTTTTATGTTTTATTTGGTACCGTTGTAATCCTCTTAGTCTCACTGAATTAACCAGATACAGGAAATTACAGTAAAATGTATTATTCTATGCACAACAGCTTTCTGGTTAGAAATTACATCTTTTAGCAATGTCATAAACTATGCAGATGAGTTGGCTGTGACAGGACAAAGAAAAAGTTTCCCTCTCGAAATCCTCAAAGGAGATTGGCCGTTCACCCCAAAAGAGGTGTAAACTCCGGTTTCCTCAAAAGGATGGAATGCCAGTTCCTCCTCGTCTTCGGTCTTCAGTCTTCAGTCGTCTTCAGTGCTCTTCATCTCTTCCTTCTTCATCTCTTGGACGCTCTTCAAGATCTTCTCGTCAGTTCGTTAGTTTAGTTTTTCTTTTGTTTCCCGTTTCGTATTCTACTTTGTTCATTTCCACTTGCGAGTGGAATGAATGTAGCCTGAATTATTTTTCTTTGAGTAACTTCACTTCAAGAGACTTTAAATCCGCCGCTCCTCCGCACACCGGAAGAACCACGGACTCAGGAGGAACGATCACTCACACAGCCTTGTTCAGCAACATAAGAGAACCATATGCAAGTATTCGTTTTATCGAGCTTTAATGCGTTTGTGATTCGATATCTTGGTGTCTCTCTATCTCAAGGTTCCTGTCTCTGTGATTTTGCCATACTGTTGACCACTTCCCTTTTCTTTCACTTTCATTCTCTTTCATTGTTTGATGCTTTAATCCATGTATATACATGTATTCTGTGTAACTTTAGTTCACCTGTATACGTAGTTTCATTTATTAATACATTATATTCATTTGATTGACTGTCTTGTGCGCATATTTCAAAGTCCCTTTAATGTTGCAATCAAGCTACAGGCTTCTTAAATTTGTCAATACTTCAATAGTATTTTTATAGAACAGGAAAGTTAATTCTCATGGCCAGAGAATAACTTCTCTTGAACGTCTATAATAACTTTCATGAGGTTTGATGAAGATCGGACGATCAGTTTTGCTGGACAAAGCAGATCATTCGATAATAAATTGACCCCATGAAAGATTATCTTGCAATCGATCTATCCTAGACAATTGACATATTAATATTTAATTATAATTCGTTGTGATTGATTATTGATATACACAATTGATCTAATTTTGCCTACCTGTATGGAGGACTGACTATAATTCATTGTATTCAGCTGTTCATACAGACCGGTGGTAACTTATTCCCTTTACAGGTAATTTTAATCTATGTATGCGATTACTGGACATTTTCATGACCAGTTATTACAATTATATTCCCTTTATTTGAGCTAAGAATCGCTACAGCCCCCTCCGAGGAGGGTCCTGGAGCAGTCAGTTCAGTCGTTCCCTGCCGGTTCAGGGCGACGGGCTAAATGCTCAACAACAACTAAATCCAGAAACCAGTCTTGGGAGGCTGGTACCTCTAGTAGAATTTTTGACAGCGTGGAAGCTACTGCCAAATATTTCTCGTTGGGTCCTGCAGACCATAGAATGGGGTTATCAAATACAGTTCGGGTCTCGCCCGCCCAGGTTTATGGGGGTCCTATCCACCGTGGTGGGCTCCCTCCAGCAGGGACACCGGGTTTTACAGTCGGTATTTCATCGTTCCAAAGAAGGATGGGGGGCTCCTTCCCATTTTGGATCTAAGAGTTCTGAACGAGTCAGTCATGCAACTAAAATTCAAAATGTTAACTTTGAGAGAAATCGTGCCACAGATCAGATCCGAGGACTGGTTTGCCACGATAGATCTCAAGGACGCATACTTCCACATTTCCATCCTTCCATATCACAGGAAGTTCCTGAGGTTTGCTTTCGGGGGCAAAGCATACCAATATCGAGTTCTTCCGTTCGGCCTAGCACTATCAACGGCACTTTCACAAAATGCGTAGATGCAGCTCTGGCGCCACTGCGTCATCATGAACTACATCGACGATTGGTTGATTTTAGCTCAGTCGCATCATTTGGTGGTTCGGCATCAAGATGTCATTCTCGCCCACATGAGAGAGCTGGGGTTACGGCTAAACGCCAAGAAGAGTGTGCTTTCTCCATTACAGAGGACCACTTTTCTGGGTGTGGTGTGGGATTCTATGTTGATGTGGGCATACCTATCTCCGGCACGCATAGAGTTCATCCTTTCAGCCGTGAAAAGAATAAGGCTAGGCCAGTCACTCACTGTAAAACAGTTTCAGAGACTGTTGGGTTTGATGGCAGCAGCGTCCAACGTGATACCTTTTGGTCTGCTGTACATGAGACCCTTGCAGTGGTGGCTCAGGACCAAAGGGTTTTCCCCGATGGGCAACCCCTTTCGCATGATCAGAGTTACGCGGCGATGCCTACGTGCCCTGGTTATGTGGAAGAAACCTTGGTTCCTGTCCCAGGCCCCCGTGTTGGGAGCTTCTTGTCGTCGCAGAATGCTAACGACAGATGCCTCCCTCACGGGCTGGGGAGCGATCCTGGAAGGATCATTTACATTTACATGTATTCATTTAGCTGACGCTTTTATCCAAAGCGACTTACAATTGCTATATATGTCAGAGGTCGCACGCCTCTGGAGCAACTAGGGGTTAAGTGTCTTGCTCAGGGACACATTGGTGTCTCGCAGTGGATTCGAACCCGGGTCTCTCACACCAAAGGCATGTGTCTTATCCACTGCGCCATCACCAGCCCAAACTCTCTCCTGGCATTTCAATCGCCTAGAGATGATGGCTGTATTTCTTGCTCTCAAGAATTTCCTCCCAGACCTCAGGGGCGACCATGTGTTGGTCCACACAGACAATACATCGGTGGTCGCCTACATAAATCATCAGGGGGGTTGCGGTCGCGCCCGCTATGCAAACTGGCACACCAAATCCTCCTGTGGTCTCAGGGGAAGTTGCTCTCACTCAGAGCGGCTTACATCCCTGGGGCCAAGAACATAGGAGCAGACATCCTGTCGAGGCAGGGGCCGAGGCCCGGGGAATGGAGGCTCCACCCGAGGTGGTGGAGCAGATAATGGAGGGCGTTCGGCCAGGCTCAAGTGGATCTGTTTGCGTCTCAAGAGATGTCTCACTGTCCACTCTGGTTCTCCCTCACGCATCCAGCTCCTTTCGGACTGGATGCGATGGTACAGACGTGGCCGAGGCTACGTTTGTATGATTTCCCCCCGATCGCTCTGCTCTGGAAAGAGTTTGCAGGGACCATCTGCGCCTACTTCTTATAGCCCCGCGGTGGCCGGGCAGAGTATGGTTCCCAGATCTAGTGTCTCTCCTCAACGGGCCTCCTATGGAGCTCCCCGTCAGGAGGGACCTTCTGTCCCAAGCAGAGGGCTCTATATTTCACCCTCGTCCCGAACTGTGGAACCTGTGGGCTTGGCCTCTGAGGGAGCCCAGCTCATAGGGTCAGGTCTCTCAACCGAGGTTGTGGAGACCATTCTACAATCCAGAGCTCCTTCCACGAGGAAACTTTATGCCTTGAAGTGGAAGTAGTTCACTTCATGGTGTAGTGACTGTCAGCTGGACCCAGTTAACTGCCCGGTTGGTACAGTGCTGGAGTTTCTGCAGGAGCGGTTCACTGCAGGTCTATCCCTGTCCACTTTGAAGGTCTATGTGGCGGCCATAGGTGCTTACCACATTCCTTTGGGTGGAATGTCTTTGGGAAAGGACCCCTTGGTATCTCGTTTCCTCCGTGGCACTTTGAGACTTAGACCTGCTGCGCGCACCAGGGTTCCGACTTGGGACCTGGCGATTGTCCTTCAAGGCCTTTCCCAGGCGCCCTTTGAGCCTTTGGAGGAGGTACCAGCTAGATTTCTCACTTTGAAAACTCTGTTCCTCCTCGCTATTTCATCTCTAAAAAGAATAGGAGATCTTCAGGCTTTGTCGGTTGCACCCTCGGGCTTGGAATTTGCACCTGGCATGGTTAAAGCGTTACTTCATCCTAGACCATCGGTTCCAAACAGGGGGGTCGCGGCCCATCATATTTTGAGCAAGTTTTGAGCAATGAGCATTAAATAAAAGTCCTTAATTTTTTCTGTTCAAAATTTACTAAAGTTATATAATGTGCGAATTCATCATGAATCCATTTTCCAATCCGTGTTTTTGTCTTATCCTGAACCACTATGGTACACCTATAATAAGTGTTTACATTGGGACTATTTTACACTGGTTCAGATCGCTGCCGCTGCGGAGTAGCCCAGTACCTGCGTGACTCGTCATAGACGTACACAGAGAGAAGTAGTTCGGGCTACAATGTTCTTCCGAAAGACGCATTATTCTGTTAATAAACACAAGTTTATTATCGCTCGCTATAGCGCCAAAAGCTTAAAAAATAAAGCCTCACATTGATAAACCTCACAAATAACAGTTTCAGTTTCAAAAAGTTTGACTCACACCAGCTATAAAAAGACTGAACCTCCCTTCTGTAAGCAAGATCATCACCCTGATTAAGTAGACCCACTAAAGCAGTGTCATCAGAGAATTTTTGTAACCAGCAGGATGGCTGACTATGTCTATAGTCAGCGGTATAAAGTGAAAATAAAAAGGGGGATAGAACTGTACCCTGAGGTGCTCCAGTATTAGTTAAAATGATATCAGACTGTTTGTTACCAATCCTAACAAACTGTGGTTACATTTGGTCCACCAAATGTAAAAGAGATGATAGCCAGTACTATTGCTCCCCTAGGAATAACGGTGAAAGACCGTGTTAAATGTGTTTTTCCAATCTTCTATTGTTCACTTTTGGTGAATTGTATCCTCAGTTTCCTGCTCTTAGCTGACAGGCTTGGCACCAGGTGCGATCTTCTGCTGCTGTCTACCTGCATACCTCGGTTGTACTGAGTGGTTATTTGAGATACTTTTGCCTTTCTATCCATGTGGCACGTAAATTTGCTTCCCATCCTATGTAGATTGTAGAGGCAGCTCACTTGGTTAATGTTTTGTTTAGTAAAACTCAGTTAATGTCTTGTTCTGTACATTTATGATGTTCAGAGCCCTAAACTTCCATTTCTTTTTTTCCCAGGTTACCGTTCCCATGGCTTCTGTTCTCCCTTTTAAACAATATGAGCCCAGTAAGGGTGAGTAGTAACGGCCTGTTCTGTGCCATCGTGCTACTCTTCCTCATGCTCATCTTCGTCATCATCTCCATTGCCGCCTGTAAGTGGAAAATGAGCAAACTGCTGGGCTTCATCATGTTCCTGCTCTATATCGTCTTCCTGGTGGTCAGCGTCCTGTTGGAGGACAAGGTCATCGCCTGTCCTATCTCTATCTAACGTCTGTTCTCATTTACACACACACACAAGCACACACATGCACGCACACACGCACGCACACACACACACACACACACACACACACACACACACACACACACACACACACACCAACATGAAGCTACAATCATGTACCTGCTAACTTTACCTCACCTCTGTAGTGATTTATTTACTTATGACCTTATGACAAAGAGTTTCTGGCCTGTGTGTGTTTATGGGGTTTTACACACTTAAACAAATGTTTTAATATGAATATTTTTCTTGTTTTCCAATAAAAATATCTAAATATCCTAAAAGAAGATAACTGAGATAACAGAAAACTGAACTGTCTACTTGTTTTCAGAGAATATATCTATTATATTTAAGTTTGTTTCTGGTAGACGTTTTTTTCTTCTCGGTTTAAGAATAAACTTAAAAATTGTTGCATTTTTCTTAAAACAAAAATAAGATAAAGTATCACTACTTTCACTTTTTGTTTAGTTTTTTGCTCCACTCTTTGAAGTGCAATTGAAGGTATGAGATGATCTTAAACTATGGCTGTAACGGTTCACCAAACTGAAAATGGTTCATAACTGATTACACACTCTTGTACAAAATCATGTTAACTGGATGAGATTCATTGACAGTGTTAAAACCTCAGATTTTATAGATTTATTTATTCATTTTCAAACAACATGCAAGTTGAGTTTGCGCAGTGGTTCGAGAGCCAAAGAGCAACACGGATGGAGCTCTCCGAATGATCTCTGATTATTTCTTCACTGGCACGTCAGCGCTTTATTCACTCTGTAGGAGGCACTAAGGATTTATAACCAGACAGACGCTGTGATTATAGCAGCCAGCGTTTGGTCATTTCTCAGTCTCTGTAGGCCAATTGTTCATGCAGTGAATGTGCTGCACTATTGACTAATATGTGGTCTGGAGCAATCTTTCCATGATATGACTGGTATATTCTTTCAAATAGTTTTGACTTTGCATGAGCTAATGGCCATTGCTCATTTTCTGATTTTTGTTTTATTTTACATTTCTATTATGTTTGTATGCTAAACACACATGTTGAGAACATGAGAAAACTTTCTTGTAATGGTGGTAGTAAATAGAAGTACAGTGTATGCTGCATGTTTGACAATTCCAGCACGTTTAAATGGGTATTTATTTATATTCTGTTTATTTACATAATATAATCCAGCCAGCAGACCCATTCAGCTTTATAATATAGCAAATCCAAAAAAACAAAAAAAGTTTATTTAATGTTTATTTTTTTTATGAAATGCAAATTATTTTAATCATAATGGAATGCTAAATTAGTCTGTAAACCATTACCTCCCTAGCTTTAATAAAATGACAGACAAAGATTGACTTATAATGTATTTTAGATACAGTGGAGTTATTTATTGATATGTTGAATGTTGTTAAAGCAAAACACTTTCAAAGATAATAACTGTTTATTATTTTTCAGTTCTGCTCTGTTGTTTCAGTTTATGGTGAAAGTGTGTAACATTTATTGGCTGCCACTTGTATCCATTGTAAACAGTGGAAAATAATGTATTTAGGTGGGGTTTTTTTTCTGGATCCAGGATGCCATACTGGATTTATTTTAACTGATTATTTATATAGGATGTTAATTTAAGCATTTAGATATATTTGTTTTTTTTTGTTTTTTTTTTACATATTGCCTGTGTGTCAAGAGGCCAAAGTAGCCAGTAATTTTGAACATATTGTTTAAACTGGCATGTCATCCTTCCTCTGTAGACACTGTTTATATCCTTTTATTTTAGTTTTTTATTTCAGGGAACCACAAATGAGCAAAATGACTGCATGTTGCTTCCCCAAGCATAAAAAAAAAAAAAAAACTTTAATATTCACTCATTTATAGAAAATTCGCGTTAAATAATATTATAAATGCGATGGAAATGTGTAGATGCTTATAGTCTGTAGTTAAGTGTAAATAAAACAACTTAGAAAAAAAATTATATAGCACTCCCAGCTGCTGAAACGACGTGCAGTGATTTCCCTAAATAGTCGGCGTAGCACAATCCCTGTATTTGGACTGGAAATCAGTCCATTCCGAGACGGTAAAGTAGGCAAAACGTTCAGATGCATGCATGAAAATGTGTAGCCTAATTCAAGATGTGATCATTGCTTTACTGTAAGGTTCAAAGACCAAATATTTGCATAATGGTTTGCTTAACAAATAGTCCTTCGGTATCGAAAGAGTAATGTGCTAGCACTGTCTTAAGTTCTCTAGATGAGTAAAAACACAAGAATTTATGAGTAGCGTGATCCATGTTACCACTAAGGGTGCTTAGGACTCTTTGTAATCTGTATAGACACTAACTAAGCGCAGAACTCGCTGATCAAGAACATTCACATAACACAGGCTACTGTACACTAGCGTAAAACTTCTTCCAAATAGTGAATTTATTTGTGGAGGCAGTCGCTCTATTTGTATATTTTTTTTGGAGGCAGACGATTTATTTGTAAAAACAACACAAAAAAAGTATTAGTATTTTGAAAAAAATAAATGTTGGCTTGACACAAGTCGAATGCAGATGCCTAACAGGCGTATCGTTACCTTAGCAAATACTGCCCTCTAGTGTGCCATCTTTATTTTTGTAGCTATGATTCAAACAGATCTAAACAGCATTATGTTTCCCCTTTCGTTCAGTGTTTACTCCACCAACGCCTGTTGTAAGCCTATTCTCTGTGAACAGACAAACACATGCACTGAAATGCTTAGGCCTATGGGCTACTATTTTTTTTTTTTTTTTTTGGAAGAAAATATAATATCCTTGTCAGCCCAATATGTTATGGACATCATTTATCTCTTTAGCAGAAAATACCTTATTTTGCAATGCAGAAGTAAGCTATTTTCTATTTTCTGTGAATGTGCAGACTTCCGAATCATTAGCCGCTTAATATCTTGAAGAGTAACAAAGTACAATAAACTAACTATTTGCGCTACAAACCAGTGTTTATAATGTTGCATTGTTTAGAATTACGACAATGTATTAAAATAATATGGTAAGAAATACCAGTTTGCAATAGGCCTATCAAGCAACATAACAAGCTGTTTTGATACAGTTTAAAATAAGCGGATGAACCGGAAGCCAGATACATTCAGTTTACAAATGGCCGCTCTTACATTAAAAATAAGGTGGATGCAAATCTTATATTGCTGCATGTATCTTTCCATTTTAGCGGTCCACGGGTTACATCTGTAAAGAACTGTAAGGCTTTTATTTTCTGAACCAATAAATTGTATTTCAGCAGATCTGACTGACAAAGGGAACATGTGAATGTGTAGGCTATATGAATATGGAGATATTGAGTTGAACTAATGCTATTTATTATATGAATAGAAAAAGTTAAAATGCTCAAACATTGAAAGGTTTTTAATAATAATTAAAAACAGATGATGAAGAAAAAAGGAGATGTCACTGATTAAAGCAATGTAGCTATTTCTAGGCATTTAAAATGTATGTTTTTTATTCATGTTTTCACGTTTTCCCCCATATTTTAACACTCAAATTTACGTATCGTAGTAGTCTTCTATCCTAACTTGTTACACCATGATATTTATAAATTTCCCTCATTGACATCTGCCTTTCGTAATTATTTTGTATTTTATTTGATGTGTTTTGTCTTATAAGAGGGCTGTTGAAATACTTAGTATTCAAGTGCCCCTGCTTTATCCTGTTCCATGCTTTCTTGCAGGGTAAGGACTATTTTAATTTTAATTTTGTCTTGTGTCAAACATAGCAGCATTGATATGCACTTTGCATAATTATGTGTCTGTTTATTTAGCCTATTGTTTGTTTGCTCTGAATGAGACTGAAGCTGAATGCTTGGCCTGAATTGACATAAATCTGGAGTTAAATCTTCTCCATTTTTAGACTTTAAAGGAGTGAAAATGCTAATTATGTTCACTTGTTCTCTTTCTGGCCCCTGTCTCTGTCTCCACTGTTGTCATTCTTTTTTCATAAATCTGCACTTTTGTACTGAATCACGAGATTCACGCCTAGTTATAGACATGGCATGCCAACAATCACTCCATCACTGTGTTTAATGTTCCATTTCACGTGAGTAATTTCGAATGTACATATATACAGATACTAATACAATCAGAATATAGAGAAACTGTTTATGTAAATGCAAAGTATGTAATAAAAGAAATAAAGGCAAATATAAGGGCAAATTTTCTTTGGTGAATGAAGTTTTTCATAGCAACTGCAAAGATGTGAAATAAAATTGAAACTCACTCACCAACAGGACTCCATTTTCTTTATTCTACACATAAAATATATATTCCCACTGTATATTGTCTTATAACTACAGTTTTTCACAATTGCTAAGACACTAAACCCCATTCCCTGAACCGAATTCGCAAAGGCCTATTTGTCAAGTAAATCTCTTTCTGCAAAACCTTAACCTTAAAGGAGCTGTATGTAAGATTGTGGCCAAAACTGGTACTGCAATCACTTTCAAATTACTGTAGAGCGGTGTATCCCCTCCCTGACTCGAGGTTGCCAGATAGGCTGCAGGATCCAGCAGGAACGTAGTCTGCTCCAAGAAGTGGTAACTAGAGCAGAGCTGGCAACCCGGATCCCGCAACACTACTGACTTCGTGATTGGTAGATAGGTGGAGGGTGGAGCATCAGACCAAAACACATGACAACATCAATATCAGTTGAGGGCTGCAACTTCACTTTTTAAATGACAATATCCTGGCCGGACTACTGTTGTCAGTGATATAAGTATTTGAAATGAACATGATTTCTTAATGTCTAGTGACATATCAGGGCCATTTTATGATTAATTGATATAAATTTCTTACATACAGCTCCATTAAAGTTCAGGCAGTTAGACATAATTTGCAAATCGCATGCATTCTTTGTGCAAATCTCTGAACACATTCTCACTCACTAAAACACATTTTGCACTGTGATGCACTTGTGTGGCAAAAAGACAAGTGGCAAAAGTTCAACACAACTACACAGTTGTCATTGTTTACACAACGGCTCAAAATGGTTCACACTTGTTTCTAATG